TGTGTTTTAATTCTCTGCAATTCAATCATTAAACCCCAAACATACAACTTTTTTGCGCAATTGATGTTAAAGCAATGTGTATTTGCATCCTTGCGAGAGATGACCTAGGTTGCTCCCTAAACTACATATTTTTGTGAGGAATTTAGTTACTTTTGATACCACTGCGATATGGCTATCACGCATCACGGATACCGCATGTGCAGTCACGAGCTGTTAGGAAAATGTGTTGGTCAGAGCTCTAGTCAAGGGGAGAGTGTGTGGCCTGTGGTGCACCTATGCTCACTATTGGTGTCACCACCACTCTCTCTTTCCTAAGATATTTCTATCAACCCCATCTTCCACACCTCTAGTGTATCGTTGAACCATTTGTACCATATTTACAACCGCATTAACATGCTTTTTTACACACATTTCAGCTACATACAGTATTCATTCATAGTACACGGCACACAGGCCCACATTCATTCATAACACATTCAACGCACAGCATTTTGAACATAATTTAAAGTACGACAGCCGTTCTCAACACTCATTACTCAACACCGACTACATTGTAGTCAATCATGAAATTTTCATCATATACATCATACAATCTTTACTACATTATGCTCAATATCTATCACATGCAACATCCAACAATTACTATGTCATATTTCTACCCAAACACAATTTTTGAACTTCTATCTCGACTACATTGCAATACATAGCAAAAATACACGATATTCAAACACAATGAGATACAGTAAAGTCGCCTTTACCTCAAATTGAAGACGACACGAATTCAACCAAGGAATTGCTCCCCAAGCGAATTTCGTTCTAAATACATGGAAGAATCCCATGAGAACCAAGGGAAACCGAGAAAACGGAGAATGGAGGCAAGAAACTGAAACTCTAACCATTAAAACTTACCTCTAAGCGTTCCCAACACGATTTCAACCTTTAATCTAGCTCTCGAACAACTTTGAAGGCAATTTAATCGGTGAAATAAAATTTTAGGTCGAGAGAATCAGAGAGATTTTGAAGAGAGGAAAGGGAAAATGAGTTTCCCAAACCCTAACCTCTTCAAATACCCCTTTGGTCGAGACACTCTCGCTACAGCAAGACCCTCTGATTGAAATGAGGCATCTCTCACTGCGGTGACGCCTCTTGTCGCTACAGCAAAAATTTCATAGAAAATTGTACTCTGATTTCTGCAGAATCTCACTACAGCGAGACTGCACCTAGAAATGCACCCCTCACTGTCGCTCTCTCGCTCTTTCACTACAACAAGAAGGCGACAGTTTCACGCCTTCTTCTCAAGGCCCTCTCGCTGCAGCAATCATATTAAAATATGCAATTAAAAAAATAATTTAGTCTTGAGTCAATTACAAGTTAAGTTCTAAAATACAAACCTTAGGGAGATAATCACACAAAATAATGAGGAAAGGGAAACAATTAATTTAGAATAAAAATCCCTTTTAAGGCTCAAAACTCACATTTGTGAGTTAAAGTTTAATGTAGAGCAAAAAAGTAAGAAACTTAGCTAATTATTAGTTTCCAAATGAAAGTAAAATGCCAATGATAATTACTCAACATATTCTTTTATCTAAAAAAAATTAGATTCCATGAGAGAAAAAGTTTCAAATTATCATAAAAAATAGCATAGGCATTTTACTCAAGAACATGTTATAGCAATCATATATTTAGGAACCACTCCCCCGTACTTAAAGCAAAACATTATCCTCAATGTTTGAAAAAAATTAAATTAAATGCATGCAAAGAGAACAATTGAACAAAAGGAAAGATGTTTGTCAGGCTTGTGATTTATTATTGAGTAATCTATAATATTTTATACTTCTTAAATATTAATTGAAGGATTCATTGGTATTGGAATAGATTTAGATGAAGTTAAAAAAAAAAAAAAAAAAAGTAAACAGTACCTTATGAACAATGTCAATGAACAGTAAAATTGCCTGTGAACAGTTAAACCGTGTACAAACCGTGTATGAACAGTAAAAACTGCATATGTACAGTAACTGCTGACGTCATCAGTGACATCATCATGACGTCATGGTTGACGTCACATACGCGTACAGTGTGTATACAGTACGCGTGCACAGTATTTTCAGTGTGAATAATGCCCTGAACAGTGTTTTCAACGTGAACAGTAAGGCAGTTAACAGTGTTTCCGGCGATGAGCAGTAAATTCCGGCAGTGAACAGTAAATTTCAAAAATTTTCTATAAAAAGGGGGCTTCACACAAAATTTTTATTTCTTCACTCCTCTCCAAGGTTCTCAAAGGTTCTAAGGCCATATACTTCCATTTTCTCCCATAATAAACCCTTCTAAACTTAGATTTCTCGCCAGATCTGAGATTCTACGTCTATTCTGAAGGATTTGAAGTAAGTTTCTTTAAGTTTGAAGCTAGATTTACCGTTCATTTCTCTTCTCTTTCTCTTTCTCATAGAAGTTCATGGTGTTCTTAGGAGAAACTTTGTTCTAAAGCCAAATCTTCGGTAAATCTTGCTATAAAACAAGTAATATTCGGTAGATCTAGTGTGAATCATCGTTCTGAGGTAAGGGAAGCTTACTTGAACCTATGAACTATGTTTTGAACGGTTTAATATGCTATTTCAAGATGTTTTGATATGATTTTGTTAGATCTATTGAATAAAAGCTATTTTCTAAGCTGTAACTGTTGTTAATTGATTTAAAATGCTGAGATTTTGGCTGATCTATTATAAACTTACCTTAGCTGAGTTGTTACAATAATTTTTGCGGTGTGCATCATGATGAAAAATATATTTTGCATCATTATAGAGCCAAGTTACATGTTTAGGTGGGTAGACGTGTGACGGTAATTCATGCTGAGCTGCTGTGCTGTGCTGTCTGGATCCAGATACCGGAATGGGTCACTCCCGGAACGGCTCGGTTCCTTCTGGATTACTTAGGCTGTGAAACCAGTTGAAAACCGTTTTCATCCTGTGCATTAGATAGGCTGGAAATGCATGGGGTTATTGCTGTGAGAAATATTTTGCTCTACATATATGATTTTATTTTATTTTTGTAAGCTCACTCTTGCATTTCTTTCTATGTCGTTATGTGCGTGTGTACTGCGATAATCGTACGGTGGTACGTGAGTAGATGTAACAGGTGTTGCATCTACTTCACAGGCTGAAAGGCCAGTGAAGAAATGTTAGAAGCTGGGGTCGAGTAATATTGCATCAAAGTCCTTTCTCCCTTATATTTTGAGACCTCATGTAGAGGAAACTATATAGTATAATTTTGGTTATTTTGAATATTATGAACTAAATGTAATATTATGTTGTTTTGTTGGATATTTGTTGTAAGAAACTTTGTTTTATTTTAATTGAGAAGAGAATTTTATACTTATATTCTCTATTATTTATTTATCTTAAATAAGTATGTGATGTACAAACAATATTCTCGGTTCCTTACAAAAAGGGGTCGTGACAATGTTCCCTGATAATTCTTGGCATGACAGCTTCTAGTGAAGGAGCACGATCATGCTGAAACCTTAAGGATGCTCATGCTTATAATGTAAACTCTCCAGCTTTTACAAGTACATTCTTCATTATGCCTTTGGGGTATGTAATTGACCTATCTGCCAGCTGAAGTGACATGGAAGTTGGCTTAGGTTTATGCATTCTAAGCTTCCTGAAAACAGAATAAGGCATAAGATTAATACTTACTCCTAAATCACATAAAGCTTTATCAATATGAGTTTTTCCAATTGTGTAAGAAATAGTCAAACTTTCTGGGTCCTTAAGCTTAGGTGGATGCTTTTTAAGGACTATAGCTGAGCACTCCTCGGTAAGCTTCACAATTTCATGTGCTCTCAGCTTCCTCTTATTGGTCAAAATTTTCTTTAAAAATCTAGCATATTTAGGCATTTTGGATATGGCATCAATGAAAGACATATTAATGTGCACTTTGCCTAATAGGTAGAAGAACTTGTGGAACTCTTCATCATAAGGAAGGTGACCCTACAGCCATTGTGGGAAAGGTATCTTAGGCTCATAGGGCCTTGGTTGAACAAGAGACTTTTTTTTCTTTTATTTTTTAGGCTTTGCACTTGAAACACAACCTTGCTCATGGTGATGCACAGCCATACTTTTATGATTAACAAGGGCATGCTTGTATAAACATAGTACTGCTTCTATTGCAACAGAGGCGTGCTCATTGGTAAGCATAGATGTGCCTATAGGATCAATGTGGGCATGCTTCTTATTAAGCATAGGCGTGCATGTTCGGTGATTCTTGTAATTTCTTTTCACTTCTAAGGGTGATGGCATTGCATTGCTCCCTTGGGTTTGGTTCGGGCTGAGATGGTAATGTTCTCATCACTCTTTGACTAAGAAGATTGGTAAGTTGTTGAAGTTATGCTTTTATTTCTAATAACTGGGTTTTCACATCAGAGTTTATCTCAAAGAACCTTCTATCCATTGTTTGGGCTTGTTGCTCTATGCGAATGTTTTGTTGTTCGAACTTAGATTTAAGCTCAGTCATTCTCTTGTCAGAATAATGCATATACTACATCATTTGTTCTTGAAAGTTTGACTGAAATCTAGGAGCCTCATTTCTCTCTAGTCTTGCTCCTTAATTTTGTATATGGGGAGGACGATAAACATTTGAATTTGGAGAATTATTTTGCCATCCCGAATTGTAGTTGTTGCTTAAGAAGTTGACCTCCTTGGCCTTTGGAGGTTTTGCCGATAGATCTTGTGCTCTTAATAATAATTTCTTTTGTCTTGACAAAATTTTAGCTTATTTGTTATTGTGTCGCTGCTTTCTACCTAATAGAATGAAGCGACTTCCTTCTCTTTGCTTTTGTTATGATCTGTATGCCATTGGAAATTGTTGAAGCTATATTTTCTATCAATGTATAGACCGCAGTTGGCCCTTTGCATAGAAAGGATCCTCCAGCGGCTGCATCAACTGTGGCTCTATTTGAAGATGAGAATCCAGCATAGAAAATCTGCATTTGCTTGCACACAGGAAAACCATGATATGGACATCTCCTCAGAAGTTCTCCAAAGCGCTCCCATGTCTCAAACTGATATTCAAACTCATATTGTTGAAAATTGGAGATTTTTGTCATTAGCTTTGCAAAGAGTGATGGTGGGAAATATTTGGCTAAGAATTCCTAGGTTAGGTCATCCCATGTTGTGATTAAATTAGATGGAAGTGTAGAGAACCATGCATTCACTTTTTCTGTGACAAAAAATTGAAAGAGGCAAAACCTTATAGCATTTTGGTGACACCATTGTATTTGATGGTATCAGCGAGTCGAAAGAAATTTTTCAAATGAAGGTGGGGATCTTCATTAGGTCGCCCTGAAAATAGTGTGGAGATCTAGACAAGATTAATCAAGGCCGATTTTAATTCAAAATTGTTGGCCTCTATATCAAGTGCTCAATGCTCCCGGCATTACCCTCAATAGTAAGTGTCATATACTCTAAAATTGGTCGTTCTTCTGCCATTTTATTATATGTTGTCTTCTTGATTTTTGAATCAAATAAAAAAGCAGTAGAGCACTTAGAATGAGTGAAAATACACTAAAAAATATATATTAAAATAAAATAAAAAAATAACTAAAATAAATAAATAATATTTATTTATTACTTTTTGAAAATAAAAAAATAAAATTAAAATAAAGCAAAACACAAATTACTCAAATCAATTAAATTCGAGATTTTCTTAATATTGAAAAAGCAATTCTTGGCAACGGTGCCAACAACTTGTTCGTTGGGCAAGTGTACCTGTCGAAAAGTAATAAAGGATTCTAAAATAAATTCCTAAAATATCATCCCACAAGGATTAATTTCCAATTACTAAGAATTTCTTAATTCAATCATTTGCGCCTAAAAGATGTGAAATTTAATAAGAACCAAAATTTAGTTATAAAATTAATTATAAATAACGCAAATAAAATAACAACCACTAGGTTGTAGTCACAAACAACTTTTTCCTATCCTTATAAAACAAAAACACACAACACACAACATTGACGAACTAGTCTCATACCCTAGGCTGGTTTAGATGAACCAAACTCTGAAACCAAATTGTAACATCCTAAATTTTTAGTGTTAAAACTGCTTTCAGACTGGGAATAAAATAAGAATTTTAATATATGACAAGCATTATAAATACGATAAATAAAATATCTTTATATGAATAAGATTGTTTTCAGAATTTGCCAATCAGGCAATATTGATTAAATAATAGTCAATTTGAAGATTATAATGAACCAGAAACAAATTTTCTAATCTGGATAATGAACATGCTTTACATATATCAAGTATAAAAACTTACAAACTGTTTGTCAAAATATGTGAGACTTAAAATAATAATTACACAACAAAAATCAATTTATGCCCTAGAGCAATCCTAAAATATATCGAAACACTGAGGACCCAAAGCTAGTCATCTCCATGCCATCCTTCTATCTCTGCTAAATCCTCTAAATCGAGGTCATCATCTAATTCAATATATAAATCTCTTGAGTGGGCTGCTACCTCAACACCCGTGACTTGCTCACTGATAACTCGAGTCGACCTCCTAAGATGGCCATGATCATAGTACCTAAACAGATACGTGAAGGCTGCTAGGGTCCTAACTGTGCCTCTATAGATATATATACATAGAGTATGATGTATCCTACTTACAAGAAAATCAAAAGGGATACTATAATATAGTGTCATCTCTAACATAATAATATTCCTAGGTAAATTACCAACATGTATGGCTAACTTAAAGTGACATGTTCCCTGGTACTCATTAAATACATAATTAAGTTTATTATATACAGAACTATCTATGAAACTAATTCTTTTTGGAGGTGTCATCATCTTGGTTCTTGAAAATTTTAGTAAGGATGAGCGTTTATTCTATCATTTATAAATCATTACATCACAAAGATCACAATTATAGTATAAGAAAAACATAATAATTTTCACAATCATAGTCACATATGGCTAATTCAATAATCTGTTATAACTTATTGAATTCTCTCCTTTAAATATGCACTATCAGTACCCTGTGATCACAGACAATGATACCTCCAGCATTTCTTGAAGTCTTACTCAACTAGGTAAATAGTTATCAGCTAACTCATGTACATGGATACGTGTACAATAACAAACCCCTTAGCAAAGATATATAGTCAAGAGTCTAGTTAGGAAATGAGTGTAAGGTCATGTGGCGCATTTGCTCTCAAAAATAATGTTTACATAAATGCGAATGTCGCTCACCACTGTACGTCTCCCCCAGATTTCTATCGTCTCCGGACTCTATACCCTCACTGTATCTCTGTAACTTCACACTAGATCCATTCCATATTCGACACTTATAATCATTCAAAAATCATTCCTTTCTTTACTAATAAGATTGTGGTTAGTAAAGAACTTCCAGACTAAGTTGACTTCACTAACACCATCAAAATATAATTTCAATTATTAAGTCCTTCAACTTATATCATACTTTATCACAGCCAAAATTGCTCATACACATACTCGACAATAGTCTATATATTTTAACACACAATTGCAATATCATACTTCATTGAAACATCTCATGTAGATGTTACGTAAATTTGAGAGGGATACTAACTAGCAAGTGCACTAGGTAGTTGTAGCAAATAATAAAATTTGAAAATCAATATGAGCCCCAAGTATGTCCACAAGGATCTTATTTTCAATTATCACTTCACAATTTAACAATTAGTTGAGCCATACAATTTGTTTGGAAGGTTTGTAACATGTAAAAGTAAGAAATAAGGACAATAAGAGGTAATAAACTTACTGTAAAAATAGAGTACGAATTTTGTATTAAGAATACTATATGAAAAATAGTTATGAATCACTTCACCATATTTTCAATTGCAATATAATCATGTTCTGAACTCTTGAAAAATTTAATTGATTAATAATTAATTTCACTTCTTTAACGAAAGGACAATTTCTTGCCTCATTAATCATAATACCTAATTAAATCTCCCTAATTCCTTAGGTGAAATTTAATCAAATATTACATTAAGTTTTAAAAATTATAAGATTACTAGATCATGATACTTATTCCTAAGATTTCAATAACCTAGGCATATGATTTAGATCTTAAAAATAAAATCAATTTCCATTGATGAAGACTCCTCTAAATTCAATTGAATGAAGGATTAGTTCACAGCTGCATTAAGAATAGAATCATATACTCAATTCAATTAAAATCTCAAGATCCAAATCCACAATTACATCACAACATCAAATCTGGATTCATAGATCCTTAACCAAAAAGGTTTAGAATAACATTACAATGGAAAGAGAAGTAAGAGAAGAAGACAAGAAGCAGAAGAACATCTTTCAAGACCCAATCTTCACACTGATTCCTCTAGTAATGAAGCTTGAAAGTCACTCCCAATCTCTTTCTCTAACTTTCCTTGGAAGTTAAAACAGTTACAAGATGAAAAATAACAAAAATGAACGAAAAATCCCATTTTCTAAATCTCTAACTTTTATTTATAATGTTTTTCCTACCTTTTTCTATTTCCACATAATAATCTCTGAAAATTATAGCATAAAAGGTCTTCTAGAAGCTTCTATAACTGAATTAGGAACTCAAATCGTCCAAAGTTGATACTTAAAAATGATATTTAAAATTCTGTTACTTTTGCGTAGCTACTTTAAGTGATTGAAGTACCTACGCGCAAGTGTTCTACATGGGAAGAGCCTCACGCGTAACTACTCTGAACACTTGAAGTGGGTGCATAAATGAATTGTCCTTGGGCATAACTACTCTGAATGCTTGGAGTTGCTACTCTTTTGATTTTCATGAATTTTCTTCTTCAAAGTGTTAACTCTATGTACTCAGAGTGGTTACGCCCTACACATAACACTTGATTCTTCATCTTTTAGGCTCAATTCCTCTACTTTCTTCACTTCAATCTTCACCTCAAATTCTCATCTCAAGCTTCTACCCAAGGATTACGTCATTTTAAGTCAAATTGTTTAGAAATGGACTAAAAATCTAAAACTCAAAACTATTTACACAATTATGAATATTGATGCACTTTTTATGACATTTTCAAGTTTACTTAGCACTTTACTACTTATTTATTAACAAAACTATACTAAAAATTATGGTAAAATGTGAATTTATCAATAGACATATTTCATATAATCATACCATAATAACTTAACACGTTTTGATAACATTCCATATTGAGTACTCATCATATATTTCATGTGAACATATCACAGCCACTTAATCCAAACAACCAAACATGCTTATTCTCAGCTATCATTCATATATAATATATTTCAAACACATATTTTCACAAAATACCTATGTAATAGCGTTTTAATGAGCACAAAATAAACATTTTAATAGAATAACAAAATAGAGCTCTCTTTACCTCGATCGGAGCATGTGAAGAGATATTGACAAAGATTTGAGTTCAACCATGGAAGTTCTCCTGAGTGCCAAGAGGTATCTATGAGGAATGAAAAATACGAGAAACGATTGGAGAAAACAAAATTTTATTCAGAGAAACTTACTGAGAGTCGTTTAGATTTAACATCCCAGCTTGGATTCGAAGAGTAATCGCAGTTTGAAGGAGTTTTATCTAAGAGAAGAAAGTGAGAGTTAAGAGAAAATAAGAAGGGAACGTGAGATTTGGAATGAAATGAAATTTCCATGGTGAAAATCTCTTAAATACCCCTCATCCCCATGCGCTCTCGCTTGAGCGAGGAACAACTCACTTGAGCGACGCTTTTCTCACCTGAGCGAGGTACAGCTCGCCTAAGCGACAACACCAGACAGTGGTCTCACCAAGCATTTCCTAATACGCTCGCCTGAGAGAGATCGAGCTCGCCTGAGCGAGATAACATCCAGAGAGTTAAACATTTTTTCTGAGTCCTCGCCTAAGTGACTCAATGCGCCTCGGCGAATGGTTGGGCTAAATTTATCCTATCTCGCTTGAGCGAGAATTATCTCATCTAAGCGAGAATCATCTCGCCTAAGCAAGATTGTCCTAAAATCATATAGTTTTAGGTGCTTAGTCTTTCTTGAGTGAGATCTCCTGCATTAGACTTCCACCAAAACACCCTTAAATCATTCCAATACACTCTGAAACTATATAATACCAAACAATACACTCTTATGCGTAAATGTTTTACTAAAAACAATGTACTTAAAATTATTTTTGTCTTAAAATTCAAGTATGATGTTATTTTATTTATAATTTTTGTATGAAAGAAGACTTAATAAGGAAAATATGCTCACTGAATTTGAAGTTAAAATGAATTACCTATAATTTTCTCAAGATGCTATTATATAAGAGTAACGTTTTTGTGCATGTTATTGAGAAACTTATTTTGGTATGATTTTTCCAAGTATGGTGTTATTTTATTATTATTTTTGCATGAAAATATATACTATAAGGAAAATATCATCACTGATCTGATGAATTTTAAATTTAAAATAAAATACTTATGATTTTTCTATTTAACTAATTCTTAGAAGTACTATAAGTAACAGAGAATGTTTAGGACTTATGCTGAAAAATGAAAGAGATAAATTTTTACTTGTATTTTTTGTTAAACTAGATAACCAAAGTGAAAGAATGCCACTAGTTTCCTGAATTTTGGTAGTTAATTGAATGATTTATGATTTTTTCAATATGTTGTCATTAAATTATACTATTTTGTGACATGTATCAAGAAATTAAAGCATGTACTCATAGTGAACACACGCAAGTTTGTTAGAGATAAATACCCTATCCGTGATCACTATTCACACATAAAGTGATTGTGTAGAGCTATGTGTGGTTACTTTCTACACACAAAATGATCACTATAAAGAGCTATGACTTGAAAGGAGATGCGCTTGTTCACTCTATACACTCAGTGAACACGCATATGCTAAATTATGGAAAAATACCACAAAGTGATCACTTTCTTCACTAATAGTGATTACTTCAACCAAGAAAAATTACAAAAAGCCTTCTATATGATCACTTTATGCGCTCATAGTGATTACACTAAAAAGGAAAAAAAATTATAAATACAAACTTAGTTTAGAGATTTGAACTATTTTCTCATTTTTTTCAATTAGGGGTTGAATTTATGATGAAATTCTATTGCTCTTCTTCTACTCTTTCTTTCTCTTTTTCTTTTAAGATGTTTTGATTTCTTTTTGTTAAGGATTGATGAATCTGATTTTGATATTGTAAATTAATTATAAATCTGAATTTTAAGACTTTGATTGTGTTGAACATTTAATTATATCATTAATGCAATTCTTGAATTAGCTATTCACTTGAATTGAACTTAGAGAATTTTCATCAATGGAAGTTGAGTTAATTTCTCATATCTAAATTGAATGTCAAGGTAATTAATATCATAGAGATAAGCATTCATGATCTTGTGATCTCTTAATTTCTAATGCTTAATACAATGTCTCATTGATTTACACCTAAGAAATTAGGATAATTAATTGAATATTAGGATTAATGAGTCAAGAAATTGAATTTTGATTAATTTAATGAAACTGATCATCAATCAATTAAGGAACTTAAAGTTCAGATCTCATTCAGTTTTACAATTGATAAAGAAGTGAAATCATTCCCAACTTCATTCACATATCATCTCATTTCCAAACTCTACACTTTGTTTTGCTGTTATTTTCTAATTTTCTACATTTTATTGCTTTTGTCTTCACATGTTCAAAATACTTCAAATTTTATTTAGTTCAACTAGCTATTGATTTGTAAAGTGGTAATTAAAAGAATTAATCTTTGAGGACGATACTTGGGACTCAAAATTGTGAAATTATTTTATAACTTGCTACAATAATACTAGTACACTTGCTAGATAGTACTCTGATGAGCTATGTGACATTGATTATCACTTCATTAAGGAACTTGTTTCTGCTGGAAAATTGTCCACTAAATTTATTCCTTCTCAGTTGCAAATCGTTGATGTATTCACCAAGAGTTTGTCTTGTCCATTGTTTGAATTTTCCAATCCAAGCTTCATGTCGTCATAAATCCCATGCTTTGCTTGCGAGAGATGTTAGCATGATTAAAGAAAAATATCTAGTCAAAGCAGCTCAAAATGATTCCCAAAATTAATATGAGCATAATTATAGGGATTGTTGTTAAAGCTCCTTATTTCCTTTTATTTGTAATTAGTTATTTCCTTATATATCATGTAGTGATATGCTATATTATATCCTTCAATATTGATATACTGTATTAGGGGAAGAAACAATCTATTCAATCTATTAATAGACTTCATTGACAATAATTGAGGGTGCTTTGAACTAGCTAAGTTCCACTTAAAAACCCCTCCTTTGTTGCTACAAAACACACACAAAGGTAGGCCACTCAAGATCCTCTCAAAATTTCTTTATTAAAATAGAAATTTTGCATGCATGCATTCTATTTCCTCACACTTTACACCTTTATCATGCATGAAATGCCACATGCAATTGTACTTTCAAATTGTATTCAATTCAAGCTTTCTATAGCATTTTTTTGTAGCCTGATTCATTAAGATATGCCAAAAATCCTAAATACAGAAAAAAATGAGATTTCTCAAACACACTATGTTTTATCGATTTTGACCACCTGAACGACTTTATTTTTATCAGGTGCATTTAAGCTTGTGTATTTTTGTGATATTCAAATTGTATTCAATTCTAACACACTTTGTATAATGATGATTCATCGAGATAAAAATATGAATTGCGTGTTGGTAACAAAACAATTTTATTTTATTGTTTTTTTATATTTTGGGATTAGAAAAAGGTCACTATAATTGTTTGTCCAACCATCAATTTTTTACAGTTGATATATTGCAGTAGTTAAGGCATGAAAATAACAAACAAATAATGAAGATGATGTACAAGTTGCTCATGGCGATTGGACAAGGCGTGATCAAGTACAGCGGTTATCCAATTTGTAATAATAATAATGTAAATATAATGTTTAATTTTTAAGCCAATTTCTAGAGATTTGCATAATGAAAATATTTATATGTCTCAGTTCTGGAGGTTCTAATCCCCAAAACTTATATGGAGGAAGAGCAATTTGATGGCCCTTAAACAAATGAAAGTGACGAAAGATCTAGCACAAAGATAGAGGATATAAGTCAAACACAACAACAGTTCATGTCACAATCTCAGTCTCAATGGTAGCCTACTTACTACTCAACATTGAATTTGGATGGAATGAATACAAGTAGTGTTGATTGGTTCTTAAGCGAAGTAAGTAGAACTATTGGAAGTGTTAGTTTGGACTGACGAATAAAGTCAAACAATTGTTCAAGGACCAGAATTTTTCACATGCTGGACTGACGAATATGAGGGTACAAGAAATATTTCCTTTCGTGAAAATAGTATTTTCACATGCAAGCTAAACTCTTGTGCACTATACACAGCGAAGACCAGTGCGATTGCCACTTGAGTAACAACCTCAGGTGGTGTAACCTGGCTATCTGCAGAAGGGGGAACTTGGATCAAATTCCCCCCCTCTAGCAATCAAATGCCAGTTTCCTCAAAATAAGATCAAATGATGTCATATAATTAATCAGAATATAATAAAGCATCAGCACTCCTCCTAGATTATAAACAAATTGGACTAATGGTATCTCTGCATGAAAAGCTTCTTAGTTCCATGTTTCGGGGAAAATATGATGAAGCCACCAGTAAGTCCCTGCCAACCACCGCGCGAGATGCTTCCAAACACAGCACTTGTATATTAAAAGGAAAGAAAATTTATGCACCACACAACATTACTCTTTTCTTTTAGTAATTTTTTTTACTGCAATTCCTTCTAGTGATTGGCTCATAGAAACAAAAGAGAGAACTAAGGGGAAACCAAAATTCCAACTTTGCAATATTCACGGGTAAAAAACATTGAAATGCTAATATATAACATGGAGCGGAAACTATAAAATAAAAACAAATAACAAGAAAATACAATACATACATATTTGTGGACGACCAAAAACTCTTCAGGAACTGGAATGCTGATCAATCAGTCTGGCATATATCTCGTATGCCTTTAATTGAGAGGTGACAGTTCACCGATGTTTCCTTTTCAAATGCCGCACCTATTAACATTGAATGTTGAAGAAACATTGGGACAGTTCACTTTCAGACCTTGACATACTTGTCGACATAACCCTGCAGAAAAAGTAGGGATGAAACGTCACTAAAAGCAATTTGAATATTAAAACCAAGGCACATTGTTATCCTTAAATCAACTTTCCAGTCAGATCATTTATTTGTAATTTTCTGGTGAAACAATTCATATATACTGCTTTCCATCTCCAATTTCTTTTGAAAAATAAAAGAAAAAAAAAAAAACAGCAGTTCCCTGCATATAAAAAGTCACTGAAGAGAGACCACCGCTGAAGTTCAATAGAACTCCAAAATCTTACAGACACAATATATGAGTAGACACACTCATGAATCTTGGATCTAACTATCCAGTAAGTAACAGTTCAGAACAGAAGTAACTTTTAGTTAAAATACTGAAAGAAACACTTAAAATTCAATTAAAATAACAGCACTGGTTCAAACAAGTTACAAAGAATTTTCTTTGGACAAAACTTAGTTGTTTTATAAGTGCTTGTGGAGGTATTCTCCAATCAAAATTGGAGTTGCACCTTAGAAACCCACACAAACCCTTTAAGATAAAATTCTAATTTTGATTGAAGAACAATACCAAAAACACAAAAGGACCAACCCAAATTCTTTTGTTTTTCATTTTCGTTTAAATAAACTAATATTCCAAGACAGAAAAAGAAGGTAAGTCTGTGTATCAAGACCTTCGGATTCTAAAGGAAAGAATAAATTATAACTGCTGACCCTAAATTTCAATTGCTTTACCAATGTCATAGCAAACCTAGGCTAGGGTAGAAGATACAAAAATGAATGATTTACTGGGATATTCAAGAGATCAAGTATAAAACGACACACCTAAAAGCTACCTTCTCACCTCTAATGAGGGGAAAAAACACATTATAAGGGATGAAAAATTCAATTACCATCACAAGTTTAGTCAACTTTCGCTGAGACGAGTCAATATATTGACTTATTTTTGCTTGAGACTTGGGTACACGATGACCTTTCATGGCTCCTGACACCTTATCAACAGTCTTTTTCACAATGGTTTTGAAAGCCACCTTACTCATATTACCTTGCTGCCATGATGGTTTCAAAACCTCCTTTACAAAGTTTGCAATGGAAATTTTGAACAATTTCATCGATCTGGATTCCTTACTCTTCTTTCTTTTCCCTGGAGACTTGATCTGATTAATCTCAACGTCCCCTGTAGTCATTTTTGCAACATCCACATCATTACTTAGGCTCTCATTTTCAACAACACCAACTTCAGCATCTGCTGTCTCACCATATTCATCATTATTTTGAGAAGTGGTAGAGGCAACAGCCCCAACCTCCTCATGCTTGTTTTTCTCATCCATGTCCAAAGACATATGAGAACTTTTGGGCCTTAGGCTGATGTTAGATTCACCTGTAACTTCCTGCTTCTGATCAAAATCATTTTTTCTCAAAGAGGATGATGGTTCAATGCTGTCAAAAAGTGGATCATATTGGTCACCGCCAGATCTAGGCAAAATCTGACCAAAACCTCTAGCTGATTTTGGTGATGCTGACTGTCTTGATCCAACCCCACCATCACCTGTCCTATTTATAGGAGTATGGTTTAATCTAGAAGAAGCATAATTGTTACCATGGATTATTTCACTTTCTTGTCTATAAATACTTGAACTGAATTTGGAACTTAGTGGTTTCTCAAAGGTTGATGCATAAGGATTATAGTGAGCAGATATTCTTGATCCCCCAATAGTTGGAAGAGAGGTTGAATGATTGCTATCCAGAGAGTCTGGTGGATATCTGGATACAGTAACAGTCTCCCCAGGCACACCCAAATTAACGTCAGATGCAGGACATTGAAAATTATACATTGATTGTTGCTTCTGTGATAATGAATGAATCTGGGAAGATGTCATAAAATGTCCCTCAGGAGACAACCTGCCACCCAGAGAAGGTTGTGGTCTGTTTACATCTGACTCCCAGGAAAATTGCTTGGATTGAGAATGTAGGCCTCCAAATGATGTGTAGCTTGAAAATTTTGAATCCTGCATTGAAAGCGGAGTATTAAGGTCTTCTCTATTGATATTAGAACCTGAAAGCAGTTGACTAGGTGGGTTCCCCTGGGGGAGATGCTTCGGAGAGAAAGGTTCAGTATGCATGAATGTTCGTGAATGATCCTGCATTGGAAGGTATGCTTGATCCTGAAACTCAGAATTCAGAGAATGAGTTGGTAACCCAGGCTTCGTGGGAGTCTGAGAAACAAAGTCAGTTCTCAAATGCAATTGACTCTGATTGAATTCTGAAGAAACATGTGATTTTGCAACTCCTGAGTTTAAACTGGAATTATACATTGCTCTTGACGGTGGTAGTGGCGGTGGTGGTGGCAATGATGTCCAAGTGCTATTAGGTGTTACACTGAAGTGAGAATTCTGCGTGTGTAATGGAGCTGGGTAAGGTTCAAACTTTTCTCGTGCAGTGGATTGAAAAGGAAAGAATGCACTTTGTTGCATCCCACCATGCTGCCTTGAAATTTGTGGCATATGTACAGTATTTTCACCCTGAGAATGAGAAACAACAGAAGGCAACTGGTAAGTATGAAGCAGTAATTCCACTGAAGAACCACTATGCGGAGGTAACTCTTTAGATGCCTCAGAGTGCAATGAAGGCTTCTCTGATGTGACAACACATGGACCAACAGAAGTAGTGGCTGACTGTACCTGAGTTGAAGGTAACATATATGGTAATGGTTCACTACCATAAACCTCATTAGCAGTAGCAGAAACAATTGATCTTTTATCAGGTGATGAATCAGTCACAAAGGATGCATATATAAGCTGAGATGGGTAACCAGAATATTCTGGAACACCAACAGAAACTTTGGGTTGTATTTGCTGAACAACAAATAAACCATCTTCTGAGGGAATGACGTCTTTATATGTACCAGATGTTTTAGAAGCATCACCACTGCTTAAAGCTTCAGGGTTAAAACCATCAACCAAGTGTCGCTGATGAGAATTCCCTGCTTTCTGAAATCTATCATTTTCATGGATTAATAAAGCCTTGGGTTCCTCCATGACTCCTATGGTTTCCTGCATTTCAGGAGCAGCCTCTCTGAAACCTTCAGATTTACTTGGATCACTATTATTAACTGATTGACCATCAAGACAAGCAGTAATAGACACAACAGCATGCCTCCCTGAATCTTCTTTCTTCTGCACTACTTTATGGCTGGCTAAATTATTACAAAGATTCACATCCTGATTTCTGATTCCTCCATGCTCATAATCTGACCCTTTAGAAGAAATATTCTCCATACCCTCATTAATCCTGGCTTCCTTTGCATGAGATCGGACTTCCAGATCCTGTTTATTCCTATGGCGCTTTGAAGTAGCATTTATTTCAGATTCATGGTGAGCATACTTGCAAGATGCTCCACGATAGCACTTTCCTCGAAAGAAGTTCATGCACTGACCCTTGTCCCTTTTCACATTCTCACCACGAAAGTCTCCTGAAAGTCTTAAGATTGGAGACCTGCTCCTGCTTCTATGTTGCCGAGGCGACCAGCTGAAACGATCAAAAATTGAAAATTTCTATGTATTCTTCAGAGAGATAATTGAAGTGATCAAGATCCAAGATTCTAAAAGCAAAGAGACAATTGACCATCACTAACAGGAAGGATGATTTACGTTCAACTCATACAACAAAATAACCTAGGAAAGGAAGATTTGTGCATCCTACACAACTGTTTGCTCAGGGACAAGATTCAAGATAACAGAAGGTAATTGGGGGCATCCTACAAGCATGACAGAAGTACATACCTGCGAGACCGGTTTCTTTTATCCTTTCTCCTCCAGGGGCTCCTCCTCCTCCTCCTCCTCCTACCCCTCCTGTCAGGAGGAGACTGGCTGTGACCCCAGCTTCTATCTCTTTTGTTTATCTTCCTTGTCTGAAGATTGCGTGAGTCATCAGAATCACTGTCCGTAAGACATTCTCTAAGATGTCTTCCGAATTCATCAACTTTCAGAACATTTGGCTCATGTTTTGAGGTTTTCCCCTCATTCTCCAGTTCACCATTGGTGCTCTTGTTACCACAGTCAATGCCAGTACCTTCTAATCCATCTTTGCCATGGAAAGATTCCACCAAAGCAGCAAAATTAACAGACACTTGATTTTCAAGGTTATGCTCAATACATTCATCACTAGTCCAACGTGAGACATATCTTTTCCGGGTCTTAGACTCTTGTACTATACATGGAGATGTTCCTGGATCATCCCGTGATGTTTTGGACGGTGGCCTAAACTCCTTTTGAGTGCTAGAGGGATTCTTCGATCCAGTACTGGTCTCCATAGAAATCCCAGAATCTTTATGGGCAGCCAAAACACCAATGTCAGCACCTCCTGAGACTGTGAAAACATTAGCATCTGCGGCACAGCCATCATCTTCATTATCTGAAGCATCATCAGAAGCATAATTTTGAAGAAGTCTTTTTAGGCTGCCACTCCTTACGAGTAGCCTATCTTTATCAGGATTAATGGTTTCTTTATGATCAGAAATACCAGTTTGCATGAAATCTTTATCTCCAGGAGCTGTAGATTTCTCCAAAACAGTGCCCAAGAGAAATTCAGCTACCTTTGTTGAGTCATTCACAGGACTACAGACCTTGGTAACTGATCCTGCAGATTTCATGTGCTCCACATCAGATAAAATCCCTGGTTCTGTATTTTATTAAAAAGCCTTTTAAACATAAAACCAAAATCCTCTCAATAAATTAATATGTCAGAGAGTTAACTCTAGATTGGATTCATTCAACATCAAATATCAGACTGAATTCTCTTAATATTCTACCACTTCTGAATTCTTAGGGATTTGTCAGAAACAAGATAAGAAGTGATTACTTCTGAATGTATTCAGTGAAAAAAGAGCACGTGATCCACACACAGTGATCATAAACAATGGCTTCCTACTTTTATGCATGAACAATTATAAACCTATCATCTTTTTCAATGATATAAGGGGAAATTAAGTTAATCACCTCAAACTTATTGAAATTGTTTAATTAAATGAAACAAATTGCCAAAAAAACTACAGAGATTTTAAATGAATTTTTATATTATGAACAATTTCTACATCCAGTGCATTCAATCTTCCAAAAATACCGAAAGTGATTAATGTCATTGGGAATTATGGGAATTAATGTATCACTGAAAATATTAGAGGTGTACTAATTACTGTTCTTGTAAATATAAAATATATTTCTTCATTTTTGTCTATAAATATCAAGGATGCTGAAGCAATTGGCAGGACTTCATTCTAATAAAGTTTCTTAATCTTAAGTCAATCCTCAAACTGTAAAATCAGATTCAGTGTTTGAGCCTTTAAGGTGAGAAAGTTAAGATATCAAACACTCTAAATTAAATAATTAAGAAACAGAAAAATCAGTGCTGAATTTCAGCACTAAACTTCCAGTGTAATAAAAAATTGCCCCTGTGCCTAATTTTGACATATATCAATCACCAGCATTACTAAATTGATTAAGTAAATAAGAACAAGTCTGACCTTTCAAAAGGAATCTCTAATAAAAGATTCAAACAAGTAATACCAAAATTAATCTAACATAATGAACAGTCAACAAAAACAACCAAGCTTTGTCCCACTAAGTGAGGTAAAACATAATGAACAGTCACTTTTCTAAAATGAAACCTTCATTTTGTTTGCTGACTCTTATGGATCCAAAGTATGAAACATCACAGGATGAGACGTCCTTGGCTATTGAATTCTGCAGCTGCTGTATATTCTGATTCATGTTAAACATCTCATCAAGCCGATTATGTGGCTGAGTTAGGGCTTCAGTAGCATAATTTGAGCCTTGACCTTTGTCAGAAAGTGTGATATCATCTAAATCCACCCATAGAGAATTAAAATAAAGAATATCAGATTTAGAATCTAAATGATACTTTATGTTTACAATATTAATGGAAATTAAAAACCAAATAAATATAGTATACTTTGGCTATTCCTGTTCTCTCCTAGGCAATTAGCTACATATCATCCAAAAAATGCATTATGTTGGCTATTTAAATATTACTTTTGCATGAGGTAAGCTCGTCGCCCTTAAGGCTACAAATAGAAAAATTATATAATGTGAAAAGACTCCTTTACTTTTATAGAGCTAGTGGTCACCAGTGATGCAAAACTAAAGAAGTGGGTTCCCGTATATCCAGGATTTGTGGAGTATCATAATATATTTAACATAAAAAAATGTAAAATATCAATTATCATGAGTATTAATATAAGAGACTAAGAGAGATAGCACATAATATATTTATGAGCCAGAATCACAACAAAGAAAACTAACCTTCCATTTCCATGTCAGAATCGGCACTTACAGTTGCAACGTGCATATGATACTGTTTCCCTGAAGAGTCTACCATCGGTGATTCCCTTTTCTTTTCATGCCATTCAGTATCCAAATTATATTTCTTCTTCATCCACAGGAAATATGTGTGAGAAATTGCAGCTTCACTTCCTGGGTCACCACCAAACAAAAATGCATATTCAGGATTCCGAAATTCATCTCGACGAGTCTTATCTTCAACATCAGCACCATTTGCAGCTATAAGCTGACACAAAGCTTCAATCTTCTTCACAGTTTTTTCTTCTGTTGGCTTGGGCGGGAGCAGATCCTCATCTCTTGCAGCAACAGCAACTTCTCTATAACTTCCACCATCCCAATTAGAATCAGAATTACACACCGGCACAACACCAGATGTATGAGAAGCTACAACTCCATCAACTGAATCCACAGACTTCAATTCCAAACCAAACATCTTTGCATCATCAGCACGTGTAGCATGGGAGGACACAGAAGTCATAGGAGGGGTAAGAGGCGGAGGAGATGGTGGAACAGGAGGCGGAGACGATGGCAAAGGTGGGGGCACCTGGTAATTACCAACAGTTGAATGGAGATACACTGAAGGGGGGGGTGGCGGAGGAGCACTACGCATATTCTGAACATCACCGGGCTGCGGAGGTGGTGGATGGAAAGGAGGGTTATACAATATCTGTCCTTGGGAAGCCGAGGGAGGCTGCGGTGGAGGTGGCAACGTTCTAGCTGGTGGCCCGGGAGCCCAAGACATTTGTGGCGCCACTGTGTTCCCATGGTGCAATTGAGAAGGGATAACATAGGATTGCCCTGCATTTGGCATCACATTATGTGAACCTTGAATGGGAAGGTTCAAGGGAACCGGGGATGACGAAGTAGGAGGGGTAGGTCCATGTAAATAAACATTAGGTGGGGGTGGCGGTGGGAACTGATGGAAATGAGGTAGAGCCTGTTGATACGGTGGTGGTGGTGGTGGTGGCGGCACTGCAGGAACAGAACTCTGTCCGAAATGAGTACCACGATTCACTTGATTATACATCGCTCCAATGCAAGCGTGATATTCAATTCAACTAACAGTAGCAATCAAACAACACCAAAAGCCCAATCTTCACTGTTGCTACGCTCGATAATAGAGGATTCCCTGAACAACATATAAACAATTCAGAGCAACACAAGCAAAACGAAAAGCAACAAAGTATAAATTCTGCGCCCTTTGATGCCATCCAACTCAGATATTGTGACATATTTGATTCAAATTATCCATAAGAGAAGCAACACGAAATCAAATGCAACTGTCAAATAGTAACAGATTTCGCAATCGCCTTTTTCTTCTTTTCTATTTATTTTCCAATTATGGACATTGGCTCAAACGAAACGCTTCGTTGCGTTTTACTTCCATCAATATTTTCGCGCTATCCATAACGATTACGGAGAAAGCAGAGTTTGGAAGAAGAAGCATCGAAACAGGAAGCACTTACCGTGTGGGAGAGGGGGAATCGCGAGGGGCGAAGGGAGAATCGAGATTGGGGTTTTGTAAGGAATGGGTGGGGTTGTGTGTGATAAACCCTAGCTAAGGAAGGAGGGGGTTTCTGGTTAAGTGCATTGGATTCACGGAGGTGTGGTTATTGCGTTGTGGGCGATGAGTGAAACGAAGAACAAGTTTGGGGAGTGGAAACAGATTACTGTGGCGGGGGGATAAAGCATTTGCCTAAACGCATCTCGATAGCTTTCGAGCTGTGTTGGGTCGTGTTTGGCAAAATCATATTCTTTTCTCTCTCTTTCTCTCTCTTTATTTTCTTTAAATTTTGTTTTTCTTTAAGAGTTACAATTTAATTTTCCCTGAGTATATATTTTTTTAATCTTTTTTATATAAAAACGTGTTAATGTTCTTAAATGAAAAGAACTTAACCATAAAAAAAACATTTATATAAATATTAAAATATAAATTTTAACTATATGAACTAATAATTTATAAATAAGTGTGGCCTATAATATCTTACTTTTTGCTCTTACAAGTGAATGTAAATGTGATTTAATTTATTTTTAATAAATAAAGTGTTAAAAAATGATTTAACATCGTTATAAGACTTAGTTTAAACTGTTTTATTATTTAAAAAATTTGTTAACCATCAATAGTATAGCAATTTTTATTTTATGAAAATGTTTGCTACCCTTAAACCACTATATTGAAACTTAGGTAGGCCTAAAATTTTAGACCCATAGCATTTCAATTGCAAATTCTATTAGTTCAAGTTGGAACAAAAAAAATTAGCAAAGTAAATGATTTATGTTTCCACAGAGATATGTAGAGATAACTCAGATAAGTTGAACAACCCCACACTCTTCTATTCACTAAGGGGAGAAATCCCTTCATAGAAGATAAATTCCTGGTTATTTTCTGGCTGAATATTGGCATATTCACGTGTACTCAGATTCAATCACCTATTCTCCTCCCAAATTGAAGTTCAAGACTCAACACACTAGAGTTGAGCAAAAAATTCAATTATACAAGTTTAATCTATAACTAATGTTTAAAAAGCTAGGTTTATATTAAACTGATTTTTTATTCATTATATTTTTGTAACCAGTTTAATAATTTTAATCCATTTTTTAAAATTGAATTTTTCTTTTTTTATCCAAATTTATACTGTACATGGAGATATTATTTCATGTTTTAATTTATTAGACCTTCGTGGTATATTTTACGGATGATATTTTTTTATATTTTACAAAAATTTATAACTAATATTTCACAAAATTTTTCATGACTACATTATATAATTAATATTTTTTTCTTAACCTTAATTCTTATAATTAAGACTAAATATTTAAAATAATATTCTTTAAAATATAATTATTATATTAATGATATAAAAATATAGCAAATATTTTGAATTAATTACTGTTATTTTTTATATTTAAATTTATGTTTTTAATTTTAAAAAACATAATAACAATATTTTATCATTATTTAATATTAATATTTTTTATAAGTTTTAATTTAAACTTTCATCATTAACTCTGTTTGATGAAAATAAGTTTTAAAAATAATATATTTAATAATATAATTAATTAAGATTACTAAAATATTTTTAAAATGCACTAATTTAATGTAATAGAAACAAAGTAATTTTATATTAAAAACTAAATTTACAAATTTATTAAAAATTAATTTTACCTTAAAAATTAAATTTAAAACTGAATTTAAAAATAATTTAAAATAAAAATAAATTTAAAACTAATTTAACATAAACTATTGAATTTAAAACTGGTTTTAACTAAAATCAAATTTTAAATCAGTTTTAAACCAAATCTAAAATTTAAAATTAGTTTTAAAATAAAAGAAAATAAATTAGTTTAAAATCTAATCTATATAATTAATTTTTGTGTGGTAGATAGATGATGCAAAATAAAAAAATATAAATTTAATTTTAATACAATATGAATGCAAAAAATTATATTATTAATTTATTAAAATATATGTAGATATTATTTTATATTAATTATCATAAAAATATTTATAGTATATTTTTCTGAATTTAAAACTGATTTTAAATCAAATCTAAATTTTAAAATTAATTTTAAAAAAAATTAAATTAGTTTAAAATTTAATTCATATATTTAAATTTAAAATAAATTTAATTTAATTTTATACAAATCCAATCTATACTCACTCTTAGAACACACATCGTATCTCCACCGTTTCAAATTTGCAAAGGATGACAAATGCTAATCTAATATTATTCTTCTCTCTCCCTCTCACAGACGTTGCAGCTCATGAACTTCAATATTAATTCCACGTTGTCCCAAGGGGTGAGAACACCTTCAAGATCCATTTTTACACACCAACCATGTAACATCCCTATTTTTTATTATCTTGATTGAAAAATAGAAATTAGAGAATAAATATAAGTTAGATTTCGATATACAATTAATAAAAAAACTCAAAATTAGACTTACTAAAAATAAAATTGTGAGATAAAATTAAAGTATAATCTAGTAATTGATGGAATATATCTTTGAGATTGATTTTGTTTAACTTTTGTTTACCTAAAGCAAGACATATATGAATTAAATTTAGTTATTAGAAAATAAAAATAGAAATTTAGCAAATAGGCTATGAAAATTAGTCAAAATAATAAAAGTTTTAGTTCAATAAGCTTTAAAATGTTAACCTTTTTCTTTAAAAGTTAATTATCTCTTAGAAGCCCAAAAAATTTATGACATATTAGCAAGTGAGGAAGCACATGGGACTTACAAGGAAATGTTTCAAAAGGTCAAAGAAAAAGTGCACAAAAATAATATATTAAAAGCTTGTATTTCATGTGAAATTGGCTAAGGAAAGGAGAAAACTTTTGACAATTCAAGGACCACAATTAGATTGAGTGGAAAGATAAGTCAAAGTACTATTAATTATGAGGTAAAATAGCTGGATTAGATCAATTAGATAAGAGAATTAGTCAAATGAGAGTTCGCAAGAAATTATTAGGAATCTTGACTAAAGTCAAGATTTAGTTTCTCACAAATTCAAAGAGTGGAAACCATAAGTTATATCAACAAATGGAGTAGAAAATACAACTAAATAAGAGAAAAGATACTGGAATGGGAACTATGGAATTGGAACTCAATTGGATAAGAAATTAAGTACAATTAGCTTCACTGAATAGAGTAAAAGCTTTGAGTTTTGTGGCAAGGGTAACCATATAAGTAAGTCACAGATTGGACCACCAATTGAAGCAACAACATTTGACACATTTATTAAGTTGTATCATGGACTTTCGTTCAACATAGCATTTAACCAAACAATTAGACTCACAACACCTACTATAATAACACATGCAAATATACATATCTTATTCTTAGACAAAAAACTTCTATATACTCTCAGAAGAGTGAGAAATTTCTAGTTTTTAACTACGCATCACTCCTAATTATTCTTTAAATCTCTAACGCAGAGACATATGAAAGTTTTCTCCTTACCCCCACCTTAGAGATTTACTTAACTAGGTGAGGAAGGACCGTTCTACGCTCGATCCAGTTCGACTCGTACTACACATCATTTTTGGTGAAACCATCAATTGTCATTTTGCCCAAGGTTCACATTTAGGTTCGTCATTTGATCGTTAGGTGTCCGCGAATGCGTGTAAGGTACCGTTGTGTTCCATTTTCAAATACAAAGAAATAGAATCCATTAACAAATTGTTTTGCTCGGATTTACTAAATTTAAAGCACCAAAAATTAAGAGAGAAATAGCGCAAAATTTTGTATATCAGATTTTTTTTTTTTTTAAGTTCAACATACAAAAATGAGCATAAACATGTGCAGTAGTGTTTGATTCACGCCCGGAAAGACTCGTCGGAAAACTTATACAACGAGGAATGCAACAAAACGGGTGTCTGATCAAGAAATACAAAAATAGTTACTGCTCACGTAAAGTGAGTTCAAAATTGTGACACTTCGTCTCTGGGTCAAAGGCAGGTAAAATTATCTCCAAACGATGCATAGAAGGATGCAATGGAAAGGGGTCGTTGTGATGATGGAGGAAATGCAATTATATGTTAGTTTTATGGACAACCCAGGTCATAAATATAGAAAATAGCCACTATCCATAGGAAATTTCAAAATGTGGGGGCACTTACGATATTGAACTGAAAATGCATAAAATGAACTCTTATTTACAATCCGAAAAGAGCGTCAGAAAGCTCTCACTAGAGAATTAAGAAAATGCATTTTCATGTCAATTTTGTAAACAATCCAGATAAAGAAACGTGAAGAACAGTCACTGTACGCGCAGAAAATTTCAGAATTGAAGTTGGATCAAAAGCGTATGAAATCGACTCCAATTTGTGCTTGGAAGGATGTGTTGGAAACCTTATTCTGTGAAGATTCGGAAATCGGGAAACACAATTGCATGTTAACCCCCAATGTAATACCCTTATTTCTATGGACTTGTCTGTCAGACCCATTTAGTAAAAACAAAACAAAACCTAGCTTCCTTGGTTCCATATTCTGTTTCAGTGTGTTAATGGAATAAGGTCGAAACAATCAAAATTGAAATCAATAATAGCCTGCGAACAAAAGTCCTTATCGTCGTTTTAGCCATTTATTTAGCATGTCTGAATATACATCACACGTCTACGCAATATCAACGTAAAACGAAACCCACGCGTACTTATTCAAGAACATCGCATGTATAGCTATTGTTAGTACTCATCAAATAATTAGGCATAAAAGGGAAATAACTAATTTTTGGAAGTATTAAATCAGCTCTCATGCACTTCATTGGCATTCTGAAAATATACATATTTCCTATACTAGTTGATTTAAGAAACAAATCAAAGAACCAAAATTGTTAAATTAGTACAAAGCCCGGCAACTCATCAATCACGCAACCAAGATCCAACCAGCACTTTACAGAGATCAGAGAGACCCATTACACCAGTGAGTCCATGAAGCACTTCATGTTCCTCACATCTTCATCAGACTCCGGAAACTTGTGCGGTTTAAAGAGCTTCCACAGTCCAAGAGGATGCTTCCTTTTAACTTGAAGATCCCCTGAAAATCTCCCATATATTTTTTCACACTCTGGGTAAGGCTTGACATAAAGATTGTAAAACCTAAGCCTAGAGGGCTTGATAAGGTCCTTCAACCCAACCTCAAAACCAATGGCACCTTTTGCCTCCAAATACTCGACCACGTTGTACCTGGGAACAATCTGCTTCTCAAAATTCACACCCAAGTATTCAGGAGCATCAAGCAAACAATCCACACTAAATTTCATCCTATGCATCAAAAACTCAATCTTCTTCTCAATATCTCCCACATCATAAGTGATCACCCTCGGTTCTTTCCACAACACCTTAAATGCATCTCTTCGAGTCAAACCATGACCACACAAACAATCCACTCTCAATTTCACCTCAAAACAGGCCCTCATCAAACGCTCCCCCAAAGCCCTCTCTTTTATCGCTTCTCTGCACTTCAAAGTCTCTAACAACCGCAAACACCGCGAGAATTCCCCAATTTCCATTCCCAGGATCCTCGGATCCCTCACGATCTCTTTCCTAATTTCACGCCCGGAAAATCCCAAACCTCTCAACTCACAAATCAAGGGCTTCAACCTATCTTCAACCCCAAGTCCCAAAACCCTAGGGAACAGCCCAACAACACGATCAATCTCATCCCTGGGAACCCCGAATTCGACAAGAAATTCAACGACACGCACGGCTTCACCGCCGCTCGTCACGAGGCCAGAAGGGAACCCCTCCAAAACCCTAACCACGGTAGCCTGGGAAAAGCCTAAACCCATAAAAGAGTCAAGTTTGTGAGAAAGATGAAGGGGGTCGAGGTGGAACCTTCTAGAACAATGCAAAAGATTAACGAGCGTGGAAGGGGAAGGATTGGGGAAGCGAGATTTGAATTCGGGGAGACGCGATTGGAAGTTATTGAGGAAGGTGCAGTCCAAGATGGAGGGGCAATCGCGGAGGAGTGAAACGATAGCGTTTTGGGGAATTCGGAGGGAAAAGAGAGTGGCGAGCGATTTGTTGAGCTGCGGAAGAGGGGAATGGAAGAGGGAGGGGTTCTGAGAGAGAAAGGAGGGAAGAAGGGAAGAGGGGAAACCGTACTTTTTGAAGAGATTTGCGAGTGAAATCTGCTTCCTGTAATGGGATTGTGATTCAGTTGAGAAACTGAAACTGTAACTGTCTCCCAGCATACGCATACGCATACCCACCTTTCGTGATGCTGCTACCAACGCCATTGCTCTTTTCTTCGCTCGCCATGCTCCCTGTACCCTCTACTAATAATGCGTTAGTTAAAATCTCTTTATTAGTTCACTTCAAGCTAACGATAATATGACATTTATCTTTGATTTTCTTCGTAATTCTAAATCTCAATTTTAAAAATTCTAACTTTATAAGCTACAATTTTAATTTCATAATTTTATTAATGATGCATCTTATGTTATGTCTCAATCAAGTTACATAAGTTCAGATGTTATATATACAAATATTAAAATTAATTAACAAATTACTAAGAGAAAAATTAAAATCATATTTAAGCCTAAATTAAATTAGTCTCACATGTTTGAAATTATACACAACATTATTCTTTTTATTTTTTCAAAATTTGTAATTAGTAATTTATTTTTTATTTTTTATTTTTGAAATCATATTTTATAAAAAAATTATTAATTAATATTCCAATTATTCTTATTCTTATTTAATTTAAATACTATGAAATTTGACAGTTTTCTACAGTCAATGGCATCCAACGCTACGAATCACAGTTTTTTAACATAAGATAAAAGACGAGTAAATTTGTTTCATCAAGTAAAAAGTATTATATTAACTGACGTACTGGATGTTGCCTTTCTTCATCCAGAACTAGCTGCTTCATCCACATTCCAGGAGGAGATTTTTTGGGTTCCGGTTCGGAAGCTGGTCTCTTGCAGTTCCCATAAGGTGGTTAACTTGTTTTATTTTCTCAGTTTGAGATTTTTCATTTAATTCTTTGTTTATTATGTGAGAAAGGCTGAGTTTCTTATGAGATTTTTCATAGTTGAAGATCGGTTCTCAACAATTATCTAGCTCAAACCTCCCCTGTTTCCGTTTTGTTTTTTCTTAATAATGTTTATTATCTAGTTGAATATGAAAATAAGTTCTAACTTCTAACAGGTTTTTCGAAAGTTCCATTTGAACTTGTGTAATTTAAATTAATCGTACCCTGAGCACAATGTCAGCATTGAAGCTACAAATTTATAATCAATCACCTATAAACCTATAATCCAATTTTACTAGCTTAACTGAGTCAATTCTTGTCAATTCATCGTTTTCCTGTTGTGTATGGAGCTTCAGATTTGAGCATGTAGAACATGAAAGTGGAAGGAATGGGAATAGGTAATATAAAACAGACTGGTCAAGGTAATTCATCCAAAACCATCTTTAAATTACCTAGATGTCAACAGGGAATATGAAACAGAAATAGTTATTAAGAATTTCTTGAAAGATTGAGCACATCATATCAGCAGAGACAGAAAATGTTCCAACTCCAAGCGCTGAATGCATTAACTGATCCTGCAGGGTATACCTATTGACAGAAATTGAAAAAAAAATAAAGGGAAATTTCACAGTTAATTTTCAATCAACCATCTCTTTAATTAAGGCCTGTATATGCATTCAACCTCCTTCCACTTTACTATACAGTTCCTTTCCAGAACCGAATTGACCTATCAGTTCCACAGGAAATAAAAGCAGACTCTGTTGGTGAGTGTTCAAGCCAGCGGGGAGCACCAACATGATTAGAAGGCCATTTTGCTACTTTTTCTGTTGTCATTGCGTCCCAGATAACGATCTGCAATGTACACCAGATCCCTCAAATAAAATTCATTTTATAAAAAGCTAACATCACCACAGTAGATAGAACAAACCTCATTGCTCAATTCATCTATGAATAGAATAAATTCTTGTGTCTCATTAAATATAGCCTGCAAAGAGAATTCACAAAACAGTAACTATTAGAATATGGATGAGAATGTGATATGGGCTTAGGCTCAGGTGATTAGATATTTGAATAGAGATCATGTGTAAGTTGTAATAAAAAATAATTCCAACGTAGTGAATGTACCAAGAAAAAACTTATGGAAGAAGATCTACTAATAATAACTACTTGGGAATTGTGTTTACGGACAATAAATCAAAAGCATTTTTCAAACCAATAGACCACATTAGCTAAGGAAGAAAAAGATGAGCACAAATGTCTCTGGGCAAGGTAAACATCCAAACATCTGCATCACTACTGGCAGAAGGTTAGCTTTTCAATATATGAATTGACCAAGATTAATAAAAGAATACTACAGAGAAAATATCTATGTACCTGGCATCTCATCTGTGTGTGGATGGCTCCGACATATTGTTTGACTAATCTTCCAGAGCTGACTTCCCAAAGCTTTATGGCAGAATCCTTCCCACAGGAGAGAACAAACCTAGAAAATTGACAGTTACATTACTACACATCTACACCAATCTATGCCTAACAGAAACTTTCAGCAATGGGTAAAAAGCCGGGCAATGGCCATCAGCAGCAATGTCCATTGCATGATTGCATCAAAAGCAATGAACTAGTAAAGAACGCAATAACATTTGTTTTCTGTCTTATTTTTTTCAGTTTGTTGGTAAACACGAGTTCTTAATGAGTACTATGGTAAACAAGAGGATCAATGGAGATAGTTAATTATGATGATAAGAGGACTAAGGTTTGGGACAATTAGGGAAGCACCCACTTCAAAGTCAAAAATATTTTTGCATTGGTTTCAAAGTCAACAATAGCACAACATTTCCAGACATACACATGATGTAGCAAGCAGTGGTATTATCATCCTCTCAAGGTCTGTTAGTGCATCAATGTATGTGTTTTCATTTCATCTAATATATGCACCAAAATGTATTTATACCTTTCATCTTTTGTAAAAATTGCACTGGTAGCCTCCGCTGTTCCATGTGCTCCAGTTATTGAGCGCACACAATTGGCAGTGATGCCATCCCACAATCGAATAGCACCATCTTTAGATACTGTAACATACATAGCACCCGTACAAGAATATCTGACCTACACATCAGACAGAAATTTTTGCATCAGAGCAGTGTCAACGAAAATAAAATAGTGATAACTCAGTTTATGATTGAGAGAGAATTGACATGCCTGGTTTATGGCTCCATTAGGGCCAACCTCTGGGGTATTTGCTGACAGATAACACTGAAAGGTATTTATATCATACAAATGTGGAATTGCATGATCAGTTCCTGTCAGAAATTGATATTCATTTTATTTCACTTCTCTTAATGGAAAAAGAATATCAAGGGAGAAAAGAAGGATAAGGTAATCTACATACATCACAAAGACAGGCTTCAGGTAAGAGTTGAGACAGAGAGAGAGAAGGAAAAGTTAGATAGGATAGTTATTGTAGTTAGTTAGAAGGGGTTTTGAGGTAAATAAGTAGGATGAAGATGCTGTGGAAATGTAATATTTGAAACTTTCATGTGTATTGAATTTGACCCGTCTGAATCTATAAAATAATACATGAATCTATATTAATTACAAAAATATTTACTAATAAAGGTAATTGTTCCAATTTATCGTGTTTATATATCAATGAGTCTAATTACTATATTTACATATTAACACTCCCTCACAAATTGGAGCATACATATTATATGCACCAAATTTGTTACAAATATATTCCACCTAAGGTCCCCTCAACGACTTACACAAATCTAACAATTGTCATTGGACCCAATAGAGCTTGATGCTGATGCATTTTCACCTGAGAAAACCTTTCTCTAATAAAATGACAATCAATCTCTATAGGCTTGGTTCATTTATTAAACACTAGATTATATGCTATATGTAGTACATCATGATTATCACAAATTAAAATCATCTTATCGACCTTTCCTATTTTAAGTTGTAGGCATAGTAGTTAATCTCGAATAGCGGTGCGAAGCGGCCAACCTGAAAAACGCTATAGCGGCAGTTCTAATTATTATACCGAATATAAAATTAATATCCAAAATAGAGAGAAATAAAAAACAGAGACGGAAATAAAAAAATAGATAAGGAAATAAGAAAACAGAGAATTGGTCAGTCACTAGAAAATGTACAGGTTCGTCACATGTTTTATCATAGATGAAGAAGATGACCGGAAATGCCTGAATCACATTGGAAGCTTCACCGGAGTTGAAGAAGACAACCGGAGATGAAGATGACCGAAACACATTTAAGTTACGTCAAAAGCTTTCCTGGAGACAAAGAAGATAACTGGAGGATGACTCTATCACGTCAGAAGCCTCGCTGGAAATGAAGGACACCGAAAGCAAGAGAATGTCGCAGAGAACGAAGATGGGGAAGAACAAACCAGAGAACTGAGAGACGAAAATGAAAACTTAGGGCTCATGAGGAAGAAGATATTAGAAATGTAAAAAGGGGCGAAATCCCAATATTACCCCCATTTAAAGATGTCCAATGTTAAGAAAGCAAGCGCAAAGTCGGGTTTTAGCCAGGGATGAAATAGCAGCTGCTTTGGCTGCTATTCGTGGCGCAATGGCCATTCCACTGAAACGTGATGCTATAAGCTCCCCATAGTGGCGACCTGCAGCTCCGCTCTGCTTCTCCGTGATAGTAGCCGCTATGGCCGCTATTGACTACTATGGTTGTAGGATTGATAGCTCATATTTTGTTCTTACATTTTTAGTCTTATTGCATCCTTTGCATGTCTTTTCATTCCCTTATTTCTTCCATTTAATATGTTTTTGCATTTATCATGTTAATTAGGAATTTTCGTAAATACTATACTTTTGTTCATATTTTCTATTCTGACCTTTAGTTACTAATTTGGCCATAACTTTTTCTGTAGATATCCTTTTTGGCTTATTCTTTTTGCATTGGATTCCTTACTTCCAGGGCTTCAATTTGGACATATGGATCGTGCTATTTGGAGTCCGGAGCTATTTTCTACGAATTTTAGAAGTTTAGACTTTTGTATAGCTTTTGTTTAGCTTTTGTTTTGCGATTTTTGTTGTATTTATTTTCGGCCCAGCTTTGGCCCATTCGGTTTTGCTCTTTTTAGGACTACTATTTATAGAGGCCAGGGGCTAACTTGGAAGCACTTTTAATTCTTTTTTTTTTTTTTTTTCAGTTTTGTAATAACTTCCCCGCTTCCAATAGAATCTCTGAATTTTTTACCCATTCTCTTCTCTTGCAATTTTTCACTTCAAATTTGCATTGCTCTACATTTTACAATTGAAAGGCGATTAGTTTCTGCAATTTCCAGACGAATTCTTCCATGTTTCTTTTCCAATTACATTGCCAAGGTCTAGATCGCATTTGTTCAAGACGTTTTTGATGCTTCGAGTTTGTTTTCTGATCTCATACCTTTGCGATTGCATAGAAAGCATTGTTCGATTGAATTGTGCATTGTTCTTAATCACATAATAAGCAATTGATTAATTGTTTGTTGTGCAGGAGAGATTTGAACAATTCGGTTTTCATTCTGGGTTTTGGATTTGTGTGTTTGGATCTCGGTTTTCATTCTCTGCATTTTAATCTTCTGCATTTAATCATAAAACTTCCCCAAACATAAACGTTTTCTGCATAATTGATATTGAAACAATGTGCATTTGCATCCTTGTGAGAGATGACATAGGTTGCTCCCTAAACTACATGTTTTTGTGAGGAATTTAGTTACTTTTGAGACCTTAGCGACAAGGTTATCAAGGATTAATTATTTTAACCAAGAAAGTTCTCACGTAGTTTCAGTCACAGCACAAGTCTTTGCACTAGATCTAACAACAGTGTGTTGCTTCTTACTCCTCCATGAGATTAAGTTTCTAGCAGTAAAGATACAATATCCAGAAATAGATCTTGCATCGGATGGTGACTCATTCTAATTAGCATCAAAGTAACCAACAATTGTAGTATTTCCAAGTTCTAGTAAAGTAATATTTCCCTAGTGCACTCTTGATGTATCTGAATGTGGAGAACAACATTCCAAAGGTTATGTATGACAAGGAGCATTTAAGAATTGGTTGACTACACTCACAAAAAATGTATCAACTAAGCGTTGATATTTTTCTAGGTCTTTCACAGGCTCCCCCTAATCCAAAAGGAGCTTGAGATTAGACTCCATAAAGGAATCTGTTAAATATATATAAATATGTTATTTAGGAAAATAATATCCATGTATTTATAATAATTAAATAATTATATATTTGTCCTTAATTTGTAGTTATGATTATAATTACTGTTATTAATATAAAAATATACATCTGGTAGTATAGTTGAGACACAGAATTCATCTCATACCTTTTCTTTTTCTCTCATCTTAACATGGTATCAAGAGTCTAACGAGGAGGAAACTCTAATCCGTCCTTCCCCTGTGGGCTCACTGCTCATTAGTGTAAATTTTTTCAAAAACCATGTGTCTCCTGTTTCCTTTTTTTTTTTTTTTTGTCTGGCATGCTTTTTTGACTGGCTTCCCACCACCACCAGTGTTGCCCCACCGTGAGCAACACAACCTGGTTACTGCGCCAAGAACAGAGCTCCCAGGCGTCCACATGTGCCACCTCTGCCACACATGACTACGCGTCCGACAACCTTTTTGCCTCCTTTGCCAACTAGACTTGCCTTTCTAAGATGGTTCTAGATTTGTTGTCATTTTCTCCATTTGAGTTTCAAACACTGTTGTTTGCCCTGTTTGATTGCATTTCTTTTTCTTCTAGGCTGACCCATGGTGGCTCTAGCTCCTCCCAACTGCTCCGCTGTCTATTGACAAGCTGGATGTCAATAACTATGATTCTTAAGTCTCTTAACATCAAACTTTGGCTCAAGGGTCAAGATTATCCCGACCATCTCACTCCCAAAGAAAAAACCGTGGCTGTGACTGAACGTACTAAATGGAGTAAGATTGATGTTCAACTTTGCAATGTCATCAACTACTATTCATTTATGTGAAGCAGATTTTTCACTCCTATAATATGTGTGAATCGGTTTGGTCACAAGCCAAGTCTCTTTACACTAAGGATATACAAAGTCTATAGAGTATGTCAAACTCTCAAGGATGTTATTGCGGCTCGAAAACTTAATGGCACTATGTCAACCTATTTGGGCCGTGTGAGTGGTCTTCTTCATGATTTCAATGAACTTCTACCTCCCGCTACCATTGCTGCCAAGGAATTAGGGAACCGTCAGATGCTTTTTATGTTACTAACTTTGTATGGTTTACCTACAAAGTACTCCCAAGTTTGCGATCAAATTTTAGGCCCCACTTCTGCTCCCACTGAGGCTACTGCTTGGTACTCTTTGCTACACATTCCTACCAAGACCACCACTACCTCAGACATTCCTCTAGCTCCTATGTTCTCTACTCATTTTGACTCTTCTACCTTGATCTCACAGGAAGGTGATCGTGGTTGCTCTTGTAAGACTACTAGTGATCATCACTCGCGTTTTAAGTGTGATCACTGTCACAAAATTAGCCACACTATTGATCGTTGTTATTCTCTGCATGGTCGACCTAGAACAACCAAACATGGACCAATAATGGGTTATTATATAATCTAGTAAGTCTGTCACCACAATTTGAACATTGGGATCAAAATCTTCATTCGACAGCTATGACGAATGATATTATACAGAATCTGGTTGTGGTCCCACTACCACTAGAGCTGCCATGTGTGAGCTCACATGCAAAGAGTGATCAGGGGTTTGTTCATAGATGAGCAGCCATGGGGCTTACGCAAATACCTGTAAATGCCTTGTTCGACAAAAAAATTGGTTGAGTTGAAGAACAAAGGAGGAGCAGAATTGGATATCTACAAATTAGGATTAATGGACCAAGCCCAGTTCACTAAGGAGGAGATCATGAGCAGGCAGGGAGAGTATGGGTTTAATCAAAGGAGGAAGATTTACTTCAAGGGCACACTTTGGGGCATACATTGACCTGCAACCCCGTCTCATTCCTAGAGGCTTTCAGACCCAATTTGCAAAGACACCATTTTGTGTTTCTGCAGCATGTTCATGAAAGCTCAGCATCCCACATCCCCTATTTTGTGCACCTAAAACAAAGCTTTGGATTCCAGTCGTCCATAATTCCAACCATGAGGACAAGGTTGAAATTCAAGGGTGTGGTATTGTTAGGAGTTAAGAGAGAGAAATAAAAGTTAGTTAGGATAGTTATTGTAGTTAGTGAGTGAAAGAAGTCCATTAGTTAGAAGGGGTTTGTGAGGTAAATAAATAGGATGATGTAAAGGAAAGGACATTTAGATTTGTTATAGTTTTTAAATTGAGCTTTAGTTATTTGTAAAAGTAGAAATCCTTTATGAAGGGAAAACCCTTGGAGAAGAGATCCCTCCTATTTTCTTTTCTTTCCATTCAATTCTATAAAATCTTTCTTTTCTTTCCTGTTTCGATTATTGGGTTTTTAACACTTTCCCCCTTCAATAATTACACTGCCGACAAGTCAGCCAGTGGCACAAAACCATTGCCTAAGTTCAGAAATAAGAGAAGATTTGTAGAAAAATAAAACCAGAGAAACATGAATATTTCTAAGCTAGTCCCGTTGGCTAGATTCAGAAAAGATATTGACAGAAATCATAAGTAGTTCACAGAAGCACCTGATTTTCTAAGCTTGGTTGCAAACATAACAATTTGACACTGAAAAGTGAACATGTTGTGTAACTAAGGAATATAGCCATACAAAAACAATTACAGAGCAAGGTGTTTGTAATTTCTTCTTTACATACCATTACAAAATGCATGAAAACACAAATGACATTCAACAGCAAAGAAAGGGATACACGATTAGCAGATCATAAAGCTTCAGTAGGAAAACGTGATAAAAATACATACCTGCCAGCAGAAAGTCCCCAGAGGGATGAAAAGATACGGATCGAACATTGTGTGTGTCCTGCACAACAAAATTCAACAGAAAGTTTATAATTAATTCTTATATTTGCTCATTTGTTGCTAAAGCTTAAAATAGGATAACACAACCTGAATAACCCTGTATGCCCTCTTTGCACTGGATTTTGAAATATCAAAAAACCTAAATATTAAACCCGACATGCCAGATTGTAAGAGAATTTCCAAAATAAAAAAGGACAGAAACATGAGAAAAGAATATGGGTGAGGTGCATAATACAGAACAAATCTTACTTTATTGTTTGATCTTTGGATCCAGAAATCAGGATAGTACCTTGTGGATGAAAATCCAAATCATTTATTGGCTGCAGTATTGTTATAATTTAAAAAATCAATTACCCAAGTACAGTTTCATGCTGATGGAAGACAGATAGAAGTTTGCATGCTCATACACAATGCTTTGTGCTAAGTAAATTCATAACGAAAATATAACTGATAAAATATTACTGAAAAGAATCTCATAACAAAAATAACACAACTTCAAGCTTCAGTTAATAGTATAACTGGAAAATGCAAATATACTTGTATATGATCATAATATGTTCGTATGACAGGCCGCACAGGACCATCCTTTGCATCTGGGAGCAACATCTGCTTGATCTTCGAAACCTGAAAAATATTGGAAGCAAAAGTTCAAAGCAGTGTCAAAGAAAGTGAATAGCACATCTAATTCTAAAAGACAAATCTGCACCTCAAATAGTTTTATTGATGTATCTGCACTTCCGGTGGCAACAAACCTTCCATCAGCACTAAATCTAGCACATCTGGCAATATTCTAGAAATTAAGCCAATCAGTCCAAAAAAGCACAGCATTTCATAGTATTTTGAATATCCATAATCTATTAAAGCACATATTACATACCTTGTGTTCTGAAAGGTGTCGTGTTTCATGCTTCGGGAAGCTCTTTGAGGAACCTTTCATATCTGGCACAGAGCTGTTATAACAGAGCACAATTTTCAAGGTTCATTTCCGAGAGCATATAATATCACTATGGATGACTAAACATTACATGTAAAAACCTATTTCTACATGAAAATGAAGTAACTTCAAACTCATGTTCAAAATCAAATATAAAGGTTAAAATACACATTCGATCCCTATAATTAATACTTATTTAAAAATTAATCCATGCTAAAAAATCTTAAGTTTTAGTCCCTATATTATAACGTAAGAGACCGAGACATAACAAAAAAACTCAGAATATGAATAAAAATATGTGTGTTTTTAGTACATGGTCTAACTCATAAACAAGTGTCAACTGAGACTAAATGTGTATTTTATTCTGTAACAATTTATATTCAATGATGGATACGAAATGTGGGTTTGGAAGTTTGCCTGAAATCAACGGCTTTTGTGTGAGGAAGGGGCAGCGACGTTGCAAAATTGTGGAAGGGTGAAGACGAAGTGCCTCTTCTGATGTCTTCTTTCTCAGCAGAAAGCCCCTGTTATTAATTTTTCTAAAACAAAGAGTGAGAATTAAATAACATATAAGAGAGTGTGTAAGTGAATAATAAGCAGTGAGAACCTTAGCAAGCAAGTCGAGAAGCCTGTTTGGTGGGGCTTCCACATTCAGAGGTGTCATAGTTGCGGTAGCAACCGCACTCGCAGCCTGATGAAATGAAAAATGATTAGTCATTTATTATGTTATGATGAAAGTGAGGTTGGCTTGCCTGAGTGAGATTGTTGTCGCGAAGATGAGCGACGATGAGGGAATTGAGGTGCCTGTAGTGTTTGCCATCTTGCACTGTCTGCTCCGAAGCACTGTTATCCATTTGTGCTCTTCTTCCTGCAAATCCCACCGAAACTGAAACCCTTATTTTGATGCCGCTACTTTCACTGCGTTTTCAAAACTAGAAGAAAATCAAATAAGTTCCTTCTATGGAAAAAGCTCACATAGGATTTTACCAGAATTTTTAAAAGAACAAGAAAAAGTGCATTACTTGTACGGGTAGAAATACTACGGGATGAAGGTTGTGGATTCTACGCAGCCCATTTAAATCAACTCATCAGACACTAAAATTATGTTTGATTCTAAGATGATATTCAACTTGTTTTGCATCTTATTCGACAAAAATTTTATGCTTAGGAACAAGAATTGATTTTCACAGGAATGAAGAGAGTGCTTAGAAATTAATCAAGCTCAAATTAAATTATGTTTTAATTAGTTATAACTTCAATGAGCTGTGTGAGTTTATTTTAATTTTAAAAATTTAAATTGAATAGTTGAGATAAAAATATAATTTTATTAGTAATATTAAAGAGAAAAATTATTTTTGACTGACCTCAGTTAACAAAGTAAATGGTTTGAGTGAATGAATATTTTTAAAGTGTTTGATATATTTTAAAAAATACAAATAATTTAAATATTTGACATGCAACTTAATAATACTAGTTTTTATATATTTATAATTTAATTTTATATTAAAATTTATAAAATTATTCTTTATATTTTCAAAACTTGTTATTTTATATTTTTATAACTTGTTATCCTTTTCCAACTTTCCAAACTATATTACTTGTATGTACTTTGCATGGTATAATTTTTGTAATTTTTGTTTAAGTCATTTTTGCTAGTTTAAGTTAAAATTACCGAAAAAGATGACTCATTAGAATTATTTTGTTTAAGTCACACAAGATATTATAATATTTATTTAAGCGAATAGTATTTGGCTTAAGTGAAATTATATTGGTTTAAGCTAATTTTGATGAAAATTTTAGGATCATCACTATCTATAATTCACTTAAGCTAATTTATATTGACTTAAGCGAGTTTTGACAAATTTTGCCAGTTCTTCACTGTCCATAATCTACTTAAGCGAATAATGTGTGGCTTAAATGAAAATTACAACTAGCCAATGAATTTCTTGCCATTTTTTTTTATCGTTCAATTGCATCTCTTTAATCATTTCTCCTATTTTGATTATAACAAAGTGTTAATTTCTAAGATAGTTAAAATAAGTATATAATGTTTTCAAATTTAATTGGTTCGAATTACAAAGATCATAATTCAAAGTATAACAATATAAAGAGAATATGATTATTTAAGTTTAGGGTAGATTTGGAAAATAGGTTTGCATGCTGTTAAGAAAAGAGAAATAAAGAGGGACTGAAGTAGAATAAGTAGAAATTGTTCTATGACAATATTCTAAGCGAGTATTATCTTATTTCATTCGATCTTTTGCCTTAGTTATCTCTTTTTTGACTTTTATCACTTAAATTTTAATCACAACCACTCAATTTATCGTTGAACTAGTTGTAAAAAAAAGAAATTCTTGAACTTGCTTCAAAAATAAAGATGTAAATGAGTTTGAGAAAATATAATTGAGTTTTATGTAAATAAATAATTATATTCTTAAAAGATAGTTGCTTTAGAAAAAATATACATATTAAAAGACCTATTTTACATATATAAGAGATTGAAATCTTAAATTTTTAAAATTTATTAAAGATTAAATTATGAATATTATAATTTTTAAAACATATTATAGATTATTATTTTACTACTTATTTATGAGTCATATATTACACTAACTCATGGTAGCCTTCACCACTATTCTTAAAAAAATTAATACTTAATAATAATTATAACATTATTGAAAGATGTTTAGTATTAAACAAAATTTTTAATACAAATTTCAGCATAGATACGAATATAAATAATATATATTATATAAAAGAAATAAAAAAAAAGTATGCGGAACAAAAGATGATAATATTAAATTAATATAATATATAATAAAATTAAAATTTGATCTTTTTAAAAATGTTACCTCAAATATTTTTGTGAATAAGTAATTAAAAATAAAAAATTATGAGTATATATTTAAAATAATAATTTACATTAATATACCTATATATGTAGGTAAAATTGATGGTGAAATAAACGTTATAATATCATAAAAAGGGTATTACATAAAACATTAATAATATGGGTGGTTATTAATTTTTCGTCAACTTTATCTCCTACATAAGAATTTTTTACACCTAAGAGTTAAAATATCAAAATTAAAAAATTGAAACTAAGCTAAAAAAATTTATAAAATATTAAAAAATATATAAATAAAGAATGTATTAAAACTAAATAAAACTTTTAATTATTAAAAGTCTCAAGAGAAAACTTATAATTTAGTTATTAGAATTTTATTGTATATAAAAATTTTATTTTAATGTCTACAAGATGTTAAAAACAAAAATAGAATATTGGCCATGAATTACATTCAATAATTTCTTAAAAAATAATAATGAATAAAAGTGAAAATTTTGATCATAGAATATTTAAAATAATTAAAATATTAATTATCTTAATTTTTTTAATTTAAATAATATTATTCATTAATTAGTTTAATATATTTGTTAATAAGAATGTGTATTTTTTAAAATAAAATAAATTAATACATTTTGCTTAAATTTATTCTTTCAATTTTTGTAATAGTTAAAACTTGCAAATATCATTACCATACAATTAGATTGATGCTATAGTTTGAGTGTTGTTATGATAAATCTATATTTTAAGAGTGTTTTTATGATTTATTTATCTGTGTTTCACCTTTATTTGATGATAATTTTATATTATTATTTTTATTAATTATTGTATATTATAACAAATCATTCATCAGTAAATTCAAGTATTTTGATCCTAATAAGAGAAAATTTGATAAAAAAAAAAAATGTGCCACACTCAACAAAAAGCATGACCATGTTGAGAGTGTTTTAAGGTCATACATAGTCATATTTCCTAATTTGTTTCTAAATCTTAATCTTCATTATATTTCTCACATAGCACATGTCACAACCCCTTTTTGTAAAGGATCAATGACATTCTGGTTTACCATTACTAATTCAATACTTATTCATGAGATAATGTACGCATATAATAGGGAATATATTTTTTCTTAGAAATTGAACTTTAACATCTTAATCAACAAAATAACAAAGTCCCAAAGGCACCTTCATATAATTCAAAACTTTACATAAGTGTGTGCGTGTGTATATATATATATATATATACAACAATTACTCTGTGAGGAGAACAAAATACAAGTTTTTGAATAATAATTACATCATTGAAGACTGTAGCTAAATAGTTTAGACTCACTACTAAGACCTAGACTAGTAAAATAAATAAAGCTACAATCTCTGCAAAAACTCGACTCTATGGCTTCCTCAGCCAGACCTTCCAGCATGAAAAGTAGATGCGTTACCTATCATATCTACTCACATACCACAGTACGATCATTGTAACACACACACACCAACATAGATAGAATGGCAAGGGTGAGCTTATGAAATAACCATCATGGTTATAGAAATAAATTGTGAATATAAACATTCATACAACTTATTATCTCCACATTAGCACTCAGCACAACAATGCAACTCATCTAATAAAAGATGTAACAACTCAGTACCAACTGGCTTCACAACCTTACTAATCCAAAAGGAACCTACAAATCTCCAGTTTGGGAGTGACCCATTCCAGTATCTAGATCCAGATATACAGCATAGTACAACTCAACATGTTATCTGATCGATACATGTCTATCCTATCTAAATATGTAGTTGGGCGCTAAAATGATAAATGTCAAGATAATAATACAGCTCAACCACAATCATGCATTTAACAGCTCAGCTATGTCTCGCAAGGCATATACATACACAGTGACAAATCAACATTCATATCAACACTCATTCATTCATTTCGGCACATAGGATTCACACTATATGTTAAATACTTTACCGTCCCCATTAAATATTTTAGCCTACATGCCTCAACATAATCGTCCTACTTTCACAGTCAATCACATAGCTACTTGGTATTCTACCTTAGGATTTGTCCCTACATCAACTTAATCTTAGCTAAAATGAACTTATGCACATAAAGTTCTAAACATTTAATGAACGAAAAGGCCAGCTTAGGTAAGCTCCCTTTACCTAGAACGAGATTTTCTTAGATCAAAACTTTGGTGAGTTCCCAGAGAGAATAACGTTCAAGGTCCTTAGATCTTCCTATTACCACAAAATAGAGATCCTTGAAAAAAGAAATCAAGAAAAGAGGAATGAAACAAGAAAACCAAACCCTAAAACTCACCTAGATTCGTACTAGGTAGAGGTTCTCACTTAGATATTGGAGAAGCTTGGCCTTGAGAGGGTTTTCTTTGAGTGAAGAGGATGAGAGAACAGAGGGGATGTGAGAGGAAATAGTGATTTGGTGAGAAATAAAGGTTTTCAGCTCTTGTCTTGCATTAGTACACATCCCAAACCCTGATGCGAAGCATCGCAATACACATAAAAAGGTTTGTTAGTATCAGGAAGAATTAACGCTAGAAAGGTCGTCAATTTCTGCTTCAACTCAATGAAACTTTGATTACATTCCTCCGTCCATGTAAATGGTTAGTTTTGATGAGTCAATCATGTTAAAGGTGAGACGATCTTTGCAAACTCCTCTATAAACCTTCGGTACTAGCCCGCTAAGCCCACAAAACTACGAATCTCTGTAACTGTCTTCAGCCTTTCCCATTGCAACATCGACTCTACTTTTGAAAGGGCAACTACAACCCTTCAGCCGAGATCACATGACCGAGGAACTTTACTTTCTCAAGCCAAAATTCACATTTTTTAGTTTGGCATACAACTGTTTTTCTCTAAAAATCCCAAGGACAATCCTCAAATATTCAGCATGTTCCTCCTTTGAACTGGAATAAATAAGGATGTCATTGATGAACACCACCACGAACTAATCTAGAAAAGGTCTAAAGATCCAATTCATGTAGTCCATAGATATTGTTGGGGCATTGGTAACTCCAAAAGGCATCACTACATACTCATAATGCCCATACTGAGTGTGAAAAGCCGTCTTAGGAATGTCATCATCCGTAACCCGAATTTGATCCTCAATTTGATCTTTCAACTCCATTAGTTCCTTTGACGCTATCCGATAAGGTGCTATCGACACTGGTTCAGCTCCGGGACTAAGTATATCCCAAGGGTCGATGTGCACAATCAATC